TTTTTTTTTTTTTGGTTTTTCGAGACAGGGTTTCTCTGTGGCTTTGGAGCCTGTCCTGGAACTAGCGCTGTAGACCAGGCTGGTCTCGAACTCACAAAGATCCGCCTGCCTCTGCCTCCCGAGTGCTGGGATTAAAGGCGTGCGCCACCACCGCCCGGCTAAACGCCTATATTTCTATGACTAGAAAATAAACCAAACTCCCTCTTGGGGTGCAAGGGACAGTCTAGGACTTCTCAGGGGACCTTGGCAGGTTGGTCTCTGTCGTCTGCTTATCAAGAAGTCAGGAGGACTATGTAGGAATTCATGGAAACATCAAATGTTCTCCATTTAAAAATGTATATAGGACTAGCAGCAGAGGATCCAGCGCCCTCCTCTGACTCCTGTGGGCACCAGGCATGCGCACAATGCAAGATTGACTACTTGTTTGTTTGTTTTTTTTAACATCACCCACTGTTGTTTAAAGTTCTGGTTCCTTGCCATCAAAAGCAGAATTTCTGGGAATTGGCATCTTTAAGAGACTTCTCCTAAAGCCCCTCTGTCACTAGATGTCCAGGAAGCTGAGCAGCCCTTTACGGTGCTCTCGTGGAGTCGCAGTTAGGGCTTCTATTGCTGTGGAGAGACACCATGGCCACTCTTAAAGAGAAAACATTTACCTGGGCTGACTCACTTACAGTTTCACAGGTTCAGTCCATTATCATCATGACTGGGAGCATGGCAGCGTGCAGGCAGACGTGGTGCTGGAGAGGTAGCTGAGAGTTCTCCATCCTACAGGCCACAGGAAGTCAACTGAAACACTGGGCGGTATCCTGAGCATGGGAAACTCAGAGCCTGCCCCCACAGTGACACACTTCCTCCAACAAGGCCATACCCACTCCAACAAAGCCACACCTCCTAATAGTGCCACTCCCTGTGAGATTAGGGAGACCGATTGCATTCCAACCACCACACGTGGTTTCCCTGGGTGTTATCTATGATTTCAGTCTTCATCGCTTAGCGGGGAGGAAACCACTGACTTCATGCCCTGTCAATGTTCTTTTTAACCCTGCCTGATTTCACTGATTAAGCAAAATCAATGAATGATTCCTTAAGGGTATTTGGGAGCCTGAGATCAGAGGATCTGGAGTTCAAAGTCAGCTTGGGCTACACAGCAAGACCTTTACTCAAACAAAAAAAGAAAGAAGGAAAGAAAGAAAGAAAGAAAGGAAGGAAGGAAGGAAGGAAGGAAGAAAGAAAGAAAGAAAGAAAGAAAGAAAGAAAGAAAAAATGTGTTTAGTCCTTTGGTTTACTTGTTTCAAGATTTACTTATTTTTTTATGAATATTTTGCCTGCATGTGCGTCTGTATACCACATGTGTCCCTTGTGCCCACACAGGCTAGAAGAGGGCATTGGAGCCTCAGGAACTGGAGTTAAGGGCATGTGGGTACTGTTCCACTTTTCTATTCCATGGAGTATAAGAGTACACTCTTTCTCAGCTTCTTAACTACAAATTACACAACCAAAACATGTCCTAATGGGAGAAAAGAGGAGAGGGCTCTCAATACACCAAAGGATCACAGCATCCAGGCACCAGAAACGAAGCAGTCACTGACCCCAGGCTCCCCCAGGTTCATCCGCTGCCTGTTCCGTGAGGGAATAGATTGCGCGGTCTTTTGTCAGTCTTTTGTCCTTCCTTTCTTTGGGTTTTGCATTTTAGCTTCCCCCTGGGGATCACATTGGACTACTGGGGATCAGGTGATGATTTCAAAGTCTTTCTCCTGCCCATCCAATCGCTAGCCTTAAGTCCTTTCTTAAAACCCTGCAATTTTGCCATTTACTGGTGCCCCACCCCCCGCCACCTCCACCCCCGCCATTTGCAGAGAAGAAAGGAGAAGCAATTACCTAAGGAGTTGCAAGTTGAGCTAGGATTTGACCTCTCCGGGCATCAGCTAGTGCAAGAGTCAGCGGTGAGCCCAGAACCCCCAGCTTCCCATTCAAAGCTGAGGCTTTAGGGACTGAAAAACCTAAGCCACGCTTGTAGCCTATACACAAAACTGACTGCGTGGAGAAAAGACATCCTGCCACCCAGACGCTGAGCAGAAGCCCATTAAAGTTCAGAGCAGAGGACTGTTTTATTTCCTGGAAACTGAGACACCAGCACTATACCCACCTCAAATCCCTTTCAAATCCCCTAAACCCAGTGAGAAGCCAGCCCCGGGAGGAGGAGGGCAGGGTGGGTCTTTACTTGGAAAGTGCTCCAAGACACATTAACAGCTTCCCTACCGAGCCCTTCCACCTCCGGGGCCAAAACCCGTGCATCAGTCAAGGCCCAGGAATGAATATTTGGACACTTGTTTCCCAGTGTGTGCTGGGATTGTTTCTCAGCCAGGCCTCCCACCCTTCAGGGGACCTGCAAGCTTGCGGCAGAGAACCCTCCTTACCTACTGTTGTTGTGAGTGTTGGAGCAAGTTAAGAGGGCCAGTGAGGCCGTGCAGGAGGCTTCTTGGCTGGTTGTCTGGTTTCTGTTTCTAGGCACCAGGGTTGTTAACCCTCTTTGGTCTCCCCATGATGCCTGAGCCTTGCTTAGAAAAAGCTACTAGAGAAGCAAAATTGTTTCTTTCTCAGTTGTGTTGGGGTCTGCGCTGAGGCCGTTCTTCAGCTCTGAAATCGGACCGATTTCTGTCACAACCCTATTTAGAGACGCCAACAAATAGCGCCAGAGTCTAGGTCCTTCCTCGTTTTCTGAGCCCTGGCCTCTTCCCACATTTTCTATCTTTTATAATGCCTGCGGTCTAGGCTGCCGGCTTTTGTGTCTTGATATGTCTTATCTTGTCTCGTATAAACTTCTGGGGAGAATGTGACATAATCTTAACTACAGTAAATGAACAATAATTTTTAATCCGAACAGATGAAATCTTAAAGCGACATATGTTTTCAGTTTAATGCTATCAGTCGTGACTGCACAGGAAATGCGTGGCTCATTTTTACATGTTAGCCCAGAGAAGACTTGACCAGAAACATCCTGATTGTCATTGGGTCAGAGGCACAGGGGCTGGTCCTGCCCCCAGACGGTCCCATATGCAGAAATAAGTCTACAGCTTGAGAACAATCACTGTAACCAAGACTAAACCCTGTAATAAGAACCACATAAGATTCCACAATGACTTCTAAGTGACTTTATAACATTTAACAACAGCAATGACAAGAGAATTGGCATTGCCACAGCTATCTCCTGCTCAGAGATAGAGAATATGGATAAATAAGAAAATATTGGTTAGATAAGGAAGGATAATAGAGTCCTAGGATGAAATACACAGCTATCAGCAAGATATATTCACACCCATAAGGGAATTTCTTCAGGGTCATTTGCTTGTCTGAGATTAGAACACAGCCATGCCAAAGTCTTGTTTTTCATGGCTTGCTCCCTTGGTCCTTCCCACCAGCCTAGGAAATTGAAGGTCAAATGACTTTTTCAGGAAACATTTGTCTCCAGTGTCTAGGTTGTTCACTGAAAAGGAATGTGTTGAATGTTGATTATGGACTCAACAAAATCAATGCCAGGCACCTACAGGAACTCCAAAGATGTCCCTCCGCCCATGGGCTTTATACTCTGTGATGGTGAATCAATTGTCAACCTGATGGGGTTTAGAATCACCATGGAAACAAGGCTCTGGGCTTGTCTGGGAGGGATTAGATGTTTAGATTAAATGGAGTAGGTAAAACTCACCCCAAATGTAGGTACTATCATCCCACCAGTAAGTATAAGACTGGATAAAAAGAGAAAGTCAGTGCCTGCAAGCATTCCTCTTTCTCTGCTCCATGACTGCAGGAGCAAATGTGACCAGCTGCTTCAAACTATGGCCACCATACCTTCCCCACCATGAGGGCCTGGAGCCTTGAACTGAGAACTGAAATAAATCCTTCCCTCCTTAAGTTGTTTCACCAGAGAGTGTGTTGTAGTGTCAAGTCATGGAGCTAAGACGCACCCCAGGGCATCCCTCCCCCCTCATCTCTAATCCGAGCTCTCACTTTTAACAGTTGGTGGCTCTCTTTTCCCCCCACAGAGTGTGGCTGAAATGATGCTACTTCATTTGTAAGCCTTCTTCATCACAAGGTAACAGCTTCCACCTTGATCTCCTCGGACGGATTACCCTGGAAGAAGCTAGCAGCTGGTAAGTTCAAATGTCCTGAGGTGGTCATACTTTGAGAAAGCTCAGTTAACCATGGGATGAAGCAGAAAGATAGAGATCCCAGCAACCATCAGCTGGCCCGGGAATATCATGCGAGGAGCCATCTTGAATACCCAGGCAAACTGGCTTTTGGATGACTATGGACTATGATCACATGAGAAGCCTCAGACAACAATGCAAATGGTAAAAAGCAATGTTTTGGGGACTGAAGAGGTGACTCAGTGGCTAAGGGTATTTGTGGCTCTTGCAGAGGACTTGGGTTTGGTGCCATACATAGGCTATATCTATCTGTCACACTAATTCTACGGAATCCGATGCCTGCTTCTGATCCTTACAGGCATGTACAAGGTACACATACATATATGCAGGCAAAACCCTCACCTACATAAAATAAATCTTCTAAAAAAAACCTTGTTTTAAAATAAAATTTAATATTATAATAAAAACTTAAATTTAGGGACGGAGGGCTTAGCTTAGTCATGAAGGACTTGCTCACAATATGTAAATCCCTAGGTTCAGTACACACCAGCACACATATACACAACTTTTTTTAAAGTTATGATTTTAAATAGTATATAATCTGCAGCACATACTTTATATATTTCATAACCTACACAAGCATACAAAAAATGTCTACACAAAAAAAATATAAAATATACCAAAAAACTGATAGTGTGGGAGAGTTGTCCCAGTGGAGGCCTGGCTCACCAGTTCACCTATCACCCAAGCCCAAACCCAGGGCTTTGAGTTGGCCCACTCCAACCTCTCCCGGTCTGAGACCTGCTGGAACTCATGAAGGACCCGTTCTGTGGGATCACAATGGCAGGATCTCCATGACTTGGGACAACAGCAGGCTATCCAAGGGGCTTCTCAGTAAGGGCCCAGTACTGACGGTTTAGCAGAAGCCAGAGACCTTGAACCCGACCAAAGACTCCTTGCAATGAACATTTACGAGTAAAGCTGTTTGGTGCCACCCTGCAGAGCACCCTCCCAGTGCCGCTACAAAGAACAAGCATGTGGTGGAGATCAGAAAGACAGAGGAGCAATGTGATTTTATTTTATTTTACTTTTTATTATTTTATTTTGGAGGGGAGGCTACAAGGGTAGAAGGTGGACATGGAAGGACTGGGAAATGAGTGGGATTGGGATACATGATGTGAAATTTCCAAGAATCAATAAAAAATTTATGAAAAAAAAAGAAAAACTAACCGTGGTTGTCCTGACTAATGGGATTTTCAGTGCCTTTCTGTTATCACTATGATAAATGTGTACTATTTTTTCCTAAGTTTTCAGAAAAAGTCATACCATGTAAAAGAAAAATAAAATTAATCAGAGAGCTTTGATTGATTGAAGTGTACAAAGTTGAAGCTGACGTGGTTAACAGAAGGGGGTAATGTTCTTTCTGGGCATAACGGAGGGGAAACAGTTGGAACTCCAGAGCACAGGAATAAATGAAGCATAAGCAGAGTAATGTAAAGTGTTTGGGAAAGGGAGCATTTGAGAACACCCATGTCAGATAAAGGCCATTTTACCTGCTGAGAAAGAGTCTGGTGGAAAACATCCCGAAGGGACAGTAACCAGAGGCTTCTCCAGGTAGTCCTGGCAGCCGGATGACTGTGCACTTGATGTCTGAAGGTATTAGTTACTTTTTCATTGTGGTGGTCTAATTATCTGACCCAGACAACTTAAGACAAGAGAAAGGCCTGTTGATTCAGTCTCAGAGAGTCCCGTCCATCGCGGCAGGAATCACACGAGGACAAGTTCCTATCGCCATGGGCCAGGAAGAAAATGAACAGCGAATCCTGGCACACAGCTACCATTGCCATCTCCTATGTATTCCATATGGGGCCCCAGCCCATGAGATGGTGCCACCCACCATCTCATCCAAATCATCCAGGATGGTTTGTCCCCATCAGTTCATCTTTTCTGGAAACAAGTCTCACAGACACCAGGAATCGACCTTAGCAATCTCTCCTGGGTGAAATCTCTCTGTAACTGACTGGAGAAATAGGGAAAATGGGGAGTAAGACATGTGTCCAATGAGACCAAAACAGCCAAACCAGGACCATCGTGTGTAGATGTGTGTGCGCGCGCACGCGTGATCACACCTACACTCAAGTGCATTCATAAAGAAACCTAATTCCAGCAATCTTCTTTGCTCTTCCACCATATACCAATCAAAGCCAGAGTTTCTTCAGTACAGGACTGGGCAATGCAGTACCAACTCCTCTGTGATGTCCGGGTCACTTCATTGTCATACAGTCCTTCCTCAATCCCCTTCTACAGCCGTCTTCTGAAAGACCACGACCCTTTGACAGGCAGCCCAAGAGAAAAGGCCGTTCCTCTTATTTTAAAATAGGAACAGAGACTGGTGTTGATCGGCAGGACGCGAAGAAAGGCTCCAGATGAGAACTTTTGGCGGCAATAGTTGCCATCTGAGTCAGTTAGACTGTTCTTAATCTACAGAAGTGCTGTAGTCAAGTCACAGAGGCGGAGAAAGCTCACTACTGACTGAAATCGCAGACGCGGCACACGGAAAGACTACACCTGCCCCCACGCCGCCGCGGTTTATTTGCATCTAATCCCAGCCAAATCAGTATCTCCATCTTAATCAAGTGGGAATTACAGGCCTCAGCGAAGAGGCCTCATTGTAGGTGATTGCATCAGAGTCCTTTTCAAACGGCTCACACTGAGCTGAAATGTTTAAAAGGATACGAAAAGATGGGGGGGGGCGGGGATGCTAGAGAAGAGCTTACAGGATCGCGTGTGCCGAGAGCAGCAAGTGATTCGGGCTGTCACGTGCGCCTGCTTAAACCTTAGAATAAAACTGGTGACGAGTCCCAGTTCCAAGGTCAGCGGAGGAAAAAAACGGTGGCACAGCAGAAGTGGGAGATTTTTACAATTCTAAAGTGAAAATATCTAACTTTTTCTTTCTGCCAAAATGCCATCATTTCCCTACCTCTCTTCTCCTCTCCACCCCCATCCCCCCTCCCCATCCTACCCCTATCTTTTCCTTCCTCCCACCCCACCTCCAGACAAGGTCTTCTGGACCCCAAACAGACCTTAAACACACAGTAGCCAAGAATGAATTTAACTTTTAATCTGACCTCCAGCCTATACTTCCTGAGTGCTGGGATTTCAGGTTTACACCAGGCTTGGGCAAGCCCAGTTTACACAGGGCTGGGAACTAGACCTAGGGACATTCTAGCCTGCTAGGAAAGCCCTCCACCTCCACCGTGTGAGCTGTATTCCAGCCACAGCGATATTTTATGTTGCCTTGAGGGGGCAAAGTCCCGCCTCGATGACCACGTGGAAAGACTGTAGATTTGTGACTTGCCAGGGAGCCAGAGAAGAGAGAGGACCACTCCTCCTGGCTAGGGACTTAATTGTTCTTGGAGTTATCTAGGGCTCCCTGGCCTCAGGAAATAGAATTAAGGGGAGGGGGTAGAGTGAGTACAGTATTTATCAGCACCCAAAGTTTTGCCCATTCTTGTCACCCAGTTGTTGTCTGTTCTATAATACATATTCCAAT